GAGGATAAAAGGACGGAGTGGGCCTTACGTAAAGCACACCAGGCCATGGCCTGGGCGATCAGAACATCCACAGCCACATCCTTTTTCAACAGAGCTACCCTCATTTGGCTTCGCCAGATGCAAGAAAGGCTCCCTCCGGAGGACACCAGGCTGCAGCAAGATATAAATAAAATTACTGCAGCCACCGAGTATGCCTCAGATGCCTCACTAAACTTGGCAAAGTTCGCATCGAGAGCCCTAGCCTCCACTGTCACAGCTAGGAGACTATTCTGGCTACGTCCCTGGAAGGCGGACCTCAAGGCTAAGTGGAAGCTGGCCGCAGCCCCATACAAAGCATCGGATCTTTTTGGAGCGGCCCTGGAACTAGTCCTAGTTGAGGACAAGGACAAAAGGAAAGTGCTTCCATCGTCTTATCGCCGCCACGAGCGGAGATACTCGCCATATCCGGTCCAGCAGCCCTTTCGACCTAGCTCAGGACCCAGGGGGTCCTTCTTGCACCGCTCCAATTACCAGGGCAGCGACAGATCCCATGACAGACAACAGCTCCATGACCGAGGCAGGAATCAGCAGTCCAGGAGACCCTTCCGGGGGGCAGGCTTCAAATCCGCCAGGAGGGGGAAATGACTCCAAGACCGAGGGCCCATAGGGGGAAGACTTTTCCTCTTCCACCAGCAACGGGCCCGGTCGACGTCAGACTCGTGGGTAAGGCACACAATTTCATTTGGACTATCAATAGAATTTGCAGGTATGCCGCCTCATCGCTTCGTGCACTGCCCAGTCCCACGGTCCACCGAGCTACAAGACGTAATGACACAGGAACTGACCCATCTTCTGGAGGTCAGAGCCATAGAAACAGTACCACTGATCCACCAAGGCTCGGGGTTCTATTCAAGCCTATTCCTCGTCCCCAAGAACTCGGGTGGATGGAGGGCCATTCTGAACCTAAAAAAGCTCAACCTGTCTGTTCAATACCACAAGTTCAAGATGCACTCCCTCCAATCAATTCTAACAGGGGTGAGATGGGGGGACCTTCTCCAGTCAGTCGACCTCCGAGAGACCTACCTACACGTACCCATTCACCCAGATCACAGACAGTTCCTGAGGTTCGAATACGGGGGCCAACACTTTCAGTACCGGGCAATGCCATTCGGACTCTCATCAGCACCCCGCACCTTCACCAAGCTGGTGGCGGTGGTGGCAGCCAAACTGCGGGCCATCCCGGTCTGAGTCCTTTGCTACTTAAACGACATCCTGATTCTCTCATCAGCTCACGACCAGGCAGTCAGGGACTTACAACTAGTTCTCGAAACGTTACGAAGCCACGGGTTTACAATCAACCTCGAGAAAAGCCATTTTCAACCTTCCTCCCGGATTCTCCATCTGGGGGCAGTAATAGACTCCACCAAGGGACAGGTTTTCCTGTCACCAGACAGGACTCAGAGTCTCCAGGAACTGGCCCTACAGATCCTGACAAAGAAGAAGGCCACTCTCCTGTAACTATCATGCCTTCTGGGGAAAATGGTCTCCTGCTTCGGCATCGTACCGTGGGCACGCAGACACTCGAGAGCACTCCAATGGTTCCTCCTCCCCTTCCAACGATCAGGGAGGGCCAACTCGAAGCGCGAGGTCTACCTCACCCCCATGGTGCGACTCTCCCTCAGATGGTGGACCTCCAATTCACTCCTCAAGGGCTCAGAATTTCTGGACCCGGACAGGCTGATCCTCACCATGGACGCAAGTCTTTGGGGGTGGGGAGCACACCTGCACAACATGGTGGCACAGGGCCAGTGGTCCAGATGCAAACAACGCAGCAGCATCAACCTGCTGGAACTCCAGGCGATCAGATTAGCCCTGCGCCACTTCCAAGCCGCGGTTCAGGGCTGGCACGTACTGGTCCTGACGGACAACATCTCGGCCAAGGCGCACGTGAACAGGGAGGGGGCACAAGTTCTCGCCTCCTGATGCTAGAGTCCGAGGCCCTGTTCGCTTGGGCGGAAAGGCACCTGCTCTCGATCAAGGCAGACCACATTTCGGGGTCAGCCAACATAAGAGCGGACTGGCTCAGCCGAACAACGATAGATCAGACGGAATGGCAACTCCACCCCCGCCTCTTCAGGAAGCTTGCCTCTCGATTCGGGAGACCAGTAGTGGACCTGTTTGTGTCTCCAAGCAATGCCCAGCTACCTTGCTTCATGTCACGCTACCCGACACTACAGGCAGAAAATCATGATGCCCTGCACTACAAGTGGCCAGCAGGACTTCTATATGCATTCCCACCAATTCCGTTGATCCCACGCCTGGTACGGAAGTTGTTGGCAGAGAAGGCCAATCTGCTCCTGGTGGCCCCAAATTGGCCTCGAAGGCCGTGGTTCGCCGACCTGGTGGCCCTATCGGTAGAGCAACCGTGGGTAATCCCACCACACCAGGTAGTGCTGTGCCAGGGTGAGGTCAGGCACCCAGAACCTCAGTGGCTCCAATTAGCTGTCTGGCATTTGAGCGGGTCATCCTGAAGGACAACTTACCTGATAGCATCGTTAGCACGATTCAAGCGGCCAGGCGACCTTCAACAGCCCGTATTTACGAGGCATCCTGGAGGGCCTTTTGCAGCTAGGGTGCTCGTCACCATGTGGACCCCACCACAGCAATGATACAGGACATTTTACTGTTTCTTCAGGCCAGGTTAAACAGGGGACTGGCCCTGGCTACCCTAAGGCGTCAGGCTGCAGCTTTATCGACAATCATCTCCTGCGCACCATTCCAGGCACTGTCGCACCATCCACTCATCAAAGGGTTCCTTCACGGGGCTACGAACTTACATCCACCTACAGTTCACTGATACCTGTCTTGGGATCTATCTCTAGTACTTCGGGCCCTGACAGGTCCCCCTTTCGAACCGTTGGAATCGACCGCCCTCAAGTACTTATCATTCAAGGTGACCTTTTTCCTAGCAATCACCTCGACGAGGCGAGTATCGGAGATAGCGGCTCTATCTGTTCCTAAGGATCTCTGCATATTCAGAGACTCCTCGGTGGTTCTCCGTCTGGACCCCGCCTTCATTCCAAAAGTGAACTCCTGGTTTCATCGGGCCCAGGAACTCATCCTGCCAGACTTCTGCCCATCACCTCGGGACCACAGGAAGAAGCGCTGGCACACCCTGGACGTCCGTCGGGCTCTTCGGCTTTACATACGCAGAATATCTTCTTTCCGCCACACAGAAGCACTCCTGGTTTCGTTCAACCCGGCTTCCATGGGCCAGAAGGTCTCGGCCTCCATGGTCAGCAGATGGATCAGGGCCTGCATTGCACTAGCTTACGAACTGAACTCCAAACCACTACCGGGCAAGATCCTTCCTCACTCAACTCAAAGTGCAGCCACATCAGCAGCCTGGGCTACACAGGCATCTGTAGCGGACATCTGCAGAGCAGCGACCTGGTCCTCATTGTCACCATTCATTCGCCACTACAAGATAGATGCTTATAATTCAGCCGAGGCGGCGTTTGGCCGCTGGGTACTCCAACGGGTCGTGGCTGGAGAGGACTCTGCGGGCAGTCAGCCTCCCGCCCATGGGGTTTGAGCTTGGGTATATCCCATCCATGGATAGTGGGAGCAGCGCACAGGAAAATGGGACGTTGTCTTACCTGAACGTCCCTTTTCTGGGCGCTGCATATACTATCCATTCCCACCCGTTTCTATGGCTTCCTGCCCGGCTGTGGTTTTCGGGCCCTGTTTTCCAAGTTGAAATTGGTTTGTTAATAAAGTTATGTTTATTGTTACCCTTTTGTTGATGGTCATTTGCCACACCTTCGCTCAGACTGGGGTATCATGGGATTGGGGGTGTGGCTGGGCAACGGGGAAAGGGAAGTCCCTGCTTTTTTCTTAAAGTAACACTCAATTGTTTGCCAAAGGCTGAAGCATTTAACCCATCCATGGATAGTGTACGCAGCGCCCAGAAAAGGGAAGTTCAGGTAAGACAACGTCCATTCTAGGCACTCCAATAAATTTTATTTGCAGTGTTTGTTAAATAACCAGGATAAATCTGTTTTTCTAAAAGAGTAAAGTTTCACTATGTTATATGTAAGCTTCGCTCAAAAATGGTTGTCATTGACATTAGGGGCGAACTTTGCTTTGTTTTACTGAATGTATTTTTATTGGTCAGTGACAGAAACAAAGTTTTTGTTTGTTTGACTGCGAACATGTTACCAATAGCGCTGTGTGTATGCATTTATGAAGTTTTGAGGAATCAAATTTAATTCAAGATTTTAATATAAGTTTTATCTCTGTTTGAGAGATAACATTGTGAGATAAAATTTCAAATTATGATTTTTGCATCCAGAAAAATGATTACTTACTGCCATTTTTATCCATTATTTTTATTTTTTTCTTCTGTGGTTATTTATTCTGTCCCTCACAGTACACACCCTCATGTTTTAATTAAAACATTGGGGAGGGGGGAGGAAAAAAATGTAGAAAGAGTAGGTAATCACTTTCTCACATCATAAAGTCCCTAAAACTAAGTGTGTTTTTAAAATTCCAGGGGGTTGTATATTGAATTTGAAGTCCATATTCAGACTGTGGCTTAACAGCCACATGTATTCTGTATCCTGGTTTAAATTAATGCAAACAAAAATAAAAGAATCAGGTGCATCAAATGTAACCTATCCATTCTAAATATAGCAATTTTCTATGTAAATTGTTGAACATTTGGAAGACTGAAATATTTTATAGCCTGTTTGGATTAATTGATGTTCAGATCCATTAATAGATCTGAAACAGATCTAATGTGGAATTGCTTTATGGGCATGCTACAATAAAGAAGATGGGTATAATTTAGCATAGCCATTCCAAAGGCTTGTTGCAAGTAGCTTAACACCAGCTGCTATTTATTTGCCTTCAGTAATTTAGTATTGATATTGCCACAACTGAAATGGGAAACATAGAAATAATTTTGATAATTCTATTATGCATCAAATATGTTAAATTGTAAGTTGTACTTTTCACAGCACAACACCAGAGGATGAAGTTTCTAATAGATGTTCACGTACAGACAGGACAGGTTATAATAGCAGATTCAACAGGGATGCAAATTCTTCTGGAAACTTTGTATCAACTAATTCTTTGGAAAAGAAGATTGACGATCTTGAAAAGGTAAACATAATAAATCTAAAAGCTGCAATATAATGTCTATTGTTTTGACTATTTTTAAATGAAGTATTTTATATTTTATTTTTTTGAAGGATCTAGCAAAGGAGCGCCAAGAAAACCTGAGGCTTGTGAGGATAGCCCAAGACAAAGAAGAATTGATTGGGAAATTAAAGGAGGAAATTGATTTATTAAATAGGGTAAGTGCTGTTTCAATCTAGCTGTGTTTCCTAAAATTTTGTACAAGTCATACATTCCCTCGCCCCTGCCCCCCCAAAAAATTGTATTTACATTTGTGCATAATACAGCACATGGATGCTCATTTATTTGTTCACTCTTTTATTCATTCTTTCTTTTTTCAAAGAATCCAAGAGACAAGTGTACTTGCTGTTCTTCAGTGTTTAATTTAAACTCTACATTTGCAAGTCAACACTCAGTTGCCAAAATTAGAGATCTTGCCTAACTTAAATAAAGTAGTTTGAGTATGCTTGGAGTAAAACTGAGCTTGGGCTGTGTGTGTACCACAAGTTAAAATATGACAAAAGCACCTGGTACAATTCTTAACAAGAAAGCCTGCATGTGGCAGAAGGACAACTAAGACTGGTGCTCTGATCGTACTCCTTTTCTATTTTTCTAAAAAGCATTATGGGAAGGCTTCAGTTAGCCAAAGGCATGATGTGTGTCAGATATCCGTATTTATGAACTCGTGGTATTGACCATAGCACGTGGAAGATTGCTTCTCAGTTTGTAATGGGGATAAATGATGTAGAGTATGAATTAAGGATTAAAAGGAAAATACAAAACATATCTGTGTTGTTTATTGTGAAGATAAGAAATGGGAAAGGATGTAATAGTTCTGATAGAAGATCCTATGTAGTTGCATTGATGAATATATATAAAGGATGAATGTGCAAGTTTAATTGTGGTTTGGAATATATGTTGTAGATATGTCAACTAGACTTTTGTGGGTACAGGTGAAAGTAGGAAGGGTATGAAAGTAATAATTGAAGGAATCAGGGTGACCAGAAGATAATTGAGAGCAGTGCAGAATGATAAAGGAAAAAGTACAGCAAGTTCATCAAAGAGCAATACTTGTAGCATGCAGCAGAGGTGGGGTTAAAAGAGTGAATAGTGATGAATTATTAACAATTAGTAAATATTGTTTGTGAATGTAGAGTTAAAAGTTGTTTCTGAATGATATCAAAATGGTATGTGATGTAAGCAAAAAATTAATGAGAATAAATAGAATGTTAGAAGTATGTATGTGTACTTTTACATGCAGATATAGAGTTGATGACTGAGGGACTGAATAGTTTACACCAAAAAATAGTTTGTATAATGCAATGAAAGAACAATGATTCTGAAAAATAATACTTGTATTTGACAAAAGAATGGAGTGAATGCAAATTACAGTTAGTAGTGAAAAATTGTATTTTGGAAAATGGTTTAGCAAAGATAAGGAAATGGGTAGAGAAATTCAAAGATGGGAAAATGCTGGTAGAATAATGGGAATAAAGAAAGATGAAATAAGTGTAAATGGCTGTATAAAAGAGTATGCTTTGTCCATTTTGTCGTCTAAACTTGAAAATTGAATTTATTAGGAAAAAGCATTAATTGAACTCATTGGATATGGAATACTTAAGTATGTAAAGTAAAACAAGAGCAGATAGAACTAATTTTAATTAATTAATTTGGTACAAAACTGAAAGAAGTATATTGAGATTGCTAGGTTATATAGAGGAATTAAATGAGGGTCAAATTGTAACAAAGAAGAAGAGTGAATGGATTGAAAAGAAGGGGAAGGGTGGGAAACTTGTGGATGGAGATGAGAACCACAAAAGTAACATTTAACAAAAAGCAATATATGGAATTGTTCACAGTGGTGATGGAAATGTGAATGTTTGCAAGAATAGAAAGTTATGGCGAAACATAATGAATGAGTGTTCTTGGTTTAAAGTAGCTGTGGATGCAGTTCCTTTTTTAATGTCTTTTTTCCTGTGCTTATTACTCTTACTTAATTTTTGCATTTTGGAAAAGGTTTCCTATGGTCAGAAGGAGTAGTATTACGAGTATGAATATATGCATGTAAAAGGATAAACCATTACTGATTTATTGTAAGGCAGTTGAAACATGTTAGAAATATTAAATAAAAATGGCCAATTCTAGTTGGATTCTAAGAACAACTCTTGAGAAGTGCAGCATGAGTTCTTTAATTATAATAAGACTAGCTGTTCTAGGTGCCCAATGTTTTCTCATTTGAATTTTATTGCATGTTACATGGCATTGCTTCGTAAATGCAGTTTGCAATTAATTTGGTTTTTTTTTAATTGTTTGAATATTTAAATTTCAGCCAGAGGTTGTGGTTGGACCTAGTCCAAGTAACTCATACTTTTTAATCATTTTGGAATGTTAGTTGTGCTAGATAAACATTCCAGAATGTGTTTATGTAAAATCTTGAGTAAATTTTTAATGTTTCTGTCTCTGCTTTAAAACAATTATTTTGATACACACTTTTAACATCCGCTTGAAAGACAAAAGTAAAACTAAATTGTAGCTTATTTGAAAATCCTAGTTATGGTGCATACTTTTTTCAGACATTAAATAAAAACAATGGTGGACTTCAAAATTGTATCCTGATAATGCTACTTCATTTTTCAAATGAGAAGTGTCTATATTGCTTAAATAATAAAACAATATCCTGCTGACAAGTTCAGTGTTGCTTAATAAAATGCTGTTGAACATGTATTTCTTAGATGAGTTCCCACAACCAGTTTTGATAAGATTTTTTAATTTATCCTGATACCTAAAATTTCTGCTGCAAAGAGCAAATACCAGAGATAACATTTCAAAAAGAAAGGGGCAATAAATTAGGAATTGAAATAGTTGCCATCTTAGTCACAGTTGCTAACAATGCACATGCATAAAGTAAAGCCATAAAATGATGCATAGTTAAAAATAATCAAGGCTTCACAAAACTGCTTTGCAACCCAGAGCAAAACACATGTACAGGGATCTACTAACATCCTATACCAGGGCGTGAGGAAAAAGCCAGATCCTCAAGGCTTTCTAGAAGATCTATGGGATCAAGGCTAGTACAGAGTGATATGTATGTGAGAATGGATTGATGACAATATCCCTAACTTTAGATCATGTCACCACTGCCTCAGGAGGGGGAGAAAACAGATCTTATGCGTAAACCCTTCCAGTGAGTCAGACCATCTCTCCCCTGGATCAGCTTCACAGTTGCCATGGTGACAAAAGATATCTTGAGCTACTTTTGATCCCAGGCTGGGAGAAGGCAGAATCATATCTCACATAACCATAAAAATGGCACAGTAAGAAAGTATTTATGCAGCAGGGAGGTGGGTACACTAGCCATAATCCCATCTGATTTCCAAGGCCTATATTTGGTTATCTCCAGAGCAGCACCTCTGGAAGCTAGGCTCTATATTAACCATTAGGTTTGGGGTGAACATGCCATGTCAGCTATTGTACCATATCTTTTGACTGGTTTCTGTAAGAGAATTTATAATTCTTAAATCCCTTCTGTTAACCTTATTCTTTTATTTATTGTAGTTGTGTATAGATAGTATATTTGTACATTATACTGCTATTTCAAAATTTATCTTGCTAATTTTAATCTTTTTTCTCTTTGTTACATATGTGTAACCTGACCAAGTGCTTTAGCATATTTTTGATTTAATAATTGGTTTTAGCCCATTTGTTTTGTCTATGTTTATTTTTCTTAATTATCCTGACAATGTCAATTTAGTTTTGGATATTTTGGATACCAATTTTCCTGTGCTGGTTAACAGCCACAATAAAGTTAAGTAAACTATATAAAGCGTTCTTATCAGAGTAAAATGTTTTGTTACAGAATATAAATTATAAGTTTACTGCGGTAAGTAGCTCCCAACCAGTTTGTTAGCCATCTCAGTCTGCAGTTCACCATTTTTTGCTTTTATGGATTAAAATTTATATCATGTATTACAGAGTGAATTATTAACTGAATGTTTAAAAAGAACTTCTATTAATTAATAGCAGTGTATCTTGTTTTATTCTCTCTCAAAGGATCTAGATGATATAGAAGACGAAAATGAGCAATTAAAGCAGGAAAATAAGACACTGTTAAAAGTTGTTGGACAGCTGACAAAGTAGAAGATGGAAGCTGCCAAAATAGAAGATGGAAGCTTCAGTGAGGAAGGAAATACGAAACTACTGATTTGAATGTTTAAGGATCAAGACTAGGATGTTTCCTTTGTGGCAATATGTCAAAGCAACTGTCTTTGTATTTATTATTAAGGAGCAGGGAGAAATGATGAATGTTTTACATGATGCTGTACTTCTAAGCTCATTCCCTTAAATTTCCCAAAGCGATTCAAATGATGCTCATTGAGATGCATTAGGTCTTTCTATGTATATGACCCAGTTATACTTTTTAAAGAATTCCTGATTACAAAGGTCACAGTTAGTCTATATGGAGATTACTTGTAGGAGAGGGGCTTTTTCCTGCTCTAAGAATAGAAGAAATAGGAATAAAATTTGTTTACACAGGGTCAAAATAACTATTTTGGGAGATATTTGTTTTTTATTTGAACAGGTGTAAAGTGCAAGTGCATTACTGATATAAAACATTTTACAGAGTGTTACTCTGCAAAAATCTTGTATGTTGTGATTTTATTTTATACTTTATCTGAAGTACTTACAGTAATAGATAGTATTTTCCTGTACAGATGCTGTTTGATAAAAATGTTTTATAAATCATAAATAACTCACCAATAATTATCACAACTAATAAGTAGTTTTTAGAAAATGTGTATGCTGCATACTACCACACAGAGCTTATGTTTCCACAAGAAGAAGAATTCAGAGGGTGCCATTTTTTGAAATTTATAAATACTGTGAACTACTTCAAACATTACAATCACAGTTTACTGGATTAAGAAAAGTCTTTCTGATTTTGTATATTAAGTTGCAGTTTTCTGATCTAAATACAATGGGAATCATTGCTTAACAATGATTTAACAAATCATATAACCTTTGCATTGGTTGGGAAATATTACTGTTCTCCGCCAAATGACTATAGACCAAAAATGTTTATCTAAACCATGCCTATATGAATGGACTTCATCCAAGATACATGTATCAGGTTAGCATCAAAATAAGTATAATGGGTTCAATTTGCAAGACTACGATCCACCAAGCTCTTATATGAATCATAATGGTTTTTGAATTGTGATAAAAGTTTTAATTGATATAGTTTACAAAAGAAATTTGTGATTGTTCACCCCTCTAAAAGTATTATAGAAAACATCTAGAATAACACCAATGCTTGTTAAAATAAAGTATGTTGCATGTTCTATTACAGTCTAGTGTCTGTTGTCTGTGTCACTGTTGCGCAACAATTGTCTGTTCCGTATGAGCTAGAAAAATCCAAAGTTGCATTTTAGAGCATAATTTTTAGTAGGGAAACTTAAATATAACATTTAAGCTTTCAAAATGCCTCTACTGCTTTCTCAGGCAAATAGAAAATAGAAAAAAAGCAGGGAAGGAAAAGTGGAAAAATAATCAACTCCCCTGATGAAGAGCTCAGAAAAACTCAAAACCAAACAGACTCTTTCTGATTTTTCAGATAGTCTTACTCTGGGATCCTGGATGTTTTTCTTTTGAGTAACACAGCTACCTTCCTTTTTGCTTGAAAAAAAGGTGTTTTTAATGACCCAGCCTTTTCTGTTTTGAAATCAGCTATATAGCCTTGAAAAATATTTTGTCAACAAGAAGTAGCACTGGAATGCTTAGGCATCCTTAGTTGCTCCCTAATACCAATGTTTATGTAGCAAAAGTGTATTATTGTTGCAAAGACAATCTCCACTGAACAAAGTTAATGTAATCAACTGTTCCCCCATGACACACTATTTGAAAAAATGCATCAATTTGTCCATACCTTTTTTTCTTTAATGACTGCAGTTGTAGATGCAGCATATCAGAAATAATCTATTGGTAGATCACAATGCTAAGCAACTATGTCAATTGCTCAAAATAGATTTCCTTTTGTATTTTAAAAGGCTATATAGGTGACTTATGACTACAATTGGGACTCTAACCTTTCCTGTGAAGCGGTCATTAAGTGAAATGCCACATGGCTGCTTTGTCAATGATGCAATCCCAGTACCTGCCAATCCTGGTTGCAATCATTAAGTGATCTCACTGGTTATTAAGCAGGTGGAGCAAAATCTTCCTGTCAGATACCCCTTTTGCTTTCAAATGCTCCTTCATGCGGCTGGAAGATTTCAGTTCTCCTCCAAGCATGGAAAGGAAATCCTTTGAGGGGCTGCAGGAATAAAGCTGAAGTCTTCATAATTTCAGTTCCGTTTTTGCAGCCTGCTGAAGGATTTACCCTCCCCTCCAGTTCTAGCCACATTAAGACATTACGTCTTTTCTTTCATAAACTTTAATGATTAAATGAAGTTAACAAAGTTATCAAATACATTTTTAATTTTTCATACACAATTTTTGTCAATTTGAATAAATGGAAAGATTACATTTGTTCAGTAACTATTCTGAGTTACAACAGAGCTGAATTAATGGTACTTATTCATAATTTTGGTTGTCACAGAATCCCCACGCTCACATGACTGCATTCAAGGCACATTTCATCTGGCTTGCAATTAATAGCATCACAGTGAACCACACAGTCACATGATTGCAATTTCCAATGACAAGCTTCCCACAAGCAAAATCAATGTGAACGCTGGCAGGAAGTCAGAAGTTCCAATAATGTGAAGTCCTTCCTTAAAGACCAGTTGCTCCTTGATTAGTAACAGCAAATGGGACTGCTAGAATTGCCGTCACTAAGCAATATGGTCACATGATATCACACTATGCCGCTGCATCGTTTAATGATAATTCTGGTCCTAATTGCCATTGTAGCCTGAGAACTATCTGTAGTTCTAAACTAAGATACTCATCAGGAAAATAACTAATAAAACAAAATAGGATGAGACAGAATAAGTTCAAATCCCAGTGTAAAAGTCTTTAAATGTATTATTTTGAGATGTTGGTAGAATTCTAAGGATATATGTCTCCAAATAAAATATATGTATTGCTCAAAAAACTATGTTCCCTACAGTCTGCAAAAAGTAATTATTCAGATGAAAAACTACTTTTTAGGTTTTCTGGGATGGGCATCTCTTACAATTAAAATAGTTAAATAAAGAACCTGGTTGGATACTCAAGTCGTTTCTGCAAGATGTTTATAGTACCCTGTTTCCCTGAAAATAAGACCTAGCATGGTTTTTATGTATGTGCCTAATATAAGCCCTACTTAAGTGCCTGCACAGTCAGCCTCCTGCCCCACCGTGAGCAAGCAGAAGAAGTGGGCCTGTGAGGGGGGGGGGAAATAAGATACTCCCTGAAAATAAGCCCTAGTGCCTATTTTGGAAACCAAAAGAAAATAGGACCCAGTCTTATTTTCGGGGAAACACAGTAGCTTCCAGTAGCTTAAACTGAGTGCAATCATCCCTTCCTAAACTATGTAGATTTCATCAGTTATAGTGATTCATGTTTGAAGAACTGCAATAGGCAAGTTAATAGGAAGGGAAACTAATCAACTTTTCATAAAAAGTTTGTAATAAGTATAACATATTATTTTAAGAGTCTCTTAAACTCTGGGAAGGTTATATGGGATTCAGATTAAAGGAATCTCATCTCTCTGTGCCATAGAATTTCATTTAAATAAATTTCAACAACTCAGCAAGATATTACCATGAAGATCATCCCCAGGTGACACTGCATCCCAGTAAATTGCAATGTATCAACTAGAATCTTTCTAGAAAGACTCCAAGCAGGTTTGTACAATTTTTGTACATATTTTTGTTCTCAATGCCCAATTAGTCTCCTTGGATAAAAATTTTTGAAAACAAAAATGCAAAAAAATCATCAACTATCCTTTATAAAGTATTTTGCTGTGAATTATTATCCATATTCCTAAAGAAATTTAAATTATTACGGCATAAAAAAAGTCATATCCTGCTGTTAAAAGTTTATTTTGTTACTGCAAAATATTGGAAAGCTCAAAATGCATATTTCATTGGCTAAAAGGTATGTATATAAGTCTAAACGCTAATGCTATTGCTAAATATGCACATTTTTATTCTGATTTACAAATTCACCAAAAAAAAGTCTGTATAAATCCTACAATGACTAATAAATTTTGTTAAATCTGGCCACTATTTATTACATATTAAGATTCTTTTCCCCCCTAATTTATTGGTTGAAAACTCCTGTATATTACTGGATATTTATTATAATTTTAGAATGCTAGTTGCTTGCTGTTTCTGGGTCATTCTTTTTAATCTTATAACTTTAAAAAAAAAGTTTTGTTTGTAATGAAAAACTGAGACATCAAAAACATAGTGTTATTCCTCCCCCCTTTTTTTTATTATAGCAGACACATATACATTACTGTAAATGAGACGACAACCAGCATCCTGCAAATACTGCAAGAGTCTAGCCAGCAAATCAAAAATTAAAATAGCAGCTGAATCCACCTTCCTAACTCTCTAGTTAAGTGACTTGTTAAATAACTTCGACTTGTTTTCACAAATCACAAATCATGCCATTATATACAAAAGATTACATTTTTTGGGTAAATGATATATCAATTCTGTCTATTCAGGCCTCTCAAATTATCTCTGACTGAATTAATTGTTTCAGATGGCACTATTGTTAGATAGATTCAGAAAGAATATACATTCTGAGAAGAGGGAGGGAGGGAGGGAGGGAGAGAGATGCTTCCCCCCCCCCCGGGTATACAGAGACAACCCAGTCGTTCACTCTGATAGATATAATAAAGTGTTCTTTTAAAGTGAGTGTCCGAATACTAAAAGCTATGAAGCGGGTGGGAAGAACAAAAAAGTAAGATCTCTTCACCACTTCACAATGTTTTGAATTCCAGGAAAAAGAGAAGTGAAATGAAGCAGAATATATTTGCTTTAAGAGCATTCTATTTCGAACAATATAGGTAAATATGTCTAGTACATGGGTGTCAAACTCGTGATGTTACATTGTCACGTGACATATCGTGACTTCCCCCCCTTTGCTAAACCGGGGATGGGCATGGCCAGCTCGTGACGCATCCAGCCTGTGGGCCGTGAGTTTCACACCTCTGGTCTAGCACAAGGACTTGGCCATCTGTCTCCAAAATTCTTAAACTATGATGTGTGAGTGATTAATTTTTTTAATAGATTGATTAAAATTTAAATGTCTTATTTCCTTGTATAATTTAGAAAATTTTTAGAAAAATTTTATGTGAATCTTGGATCAAACATTAGGCACTATTGGTTTTCCCCTGCCCCTCTCAATTATCTTGTGATCTGTATCATCTTTTTGGGCCTTCTGTAGTCTGTGTGAAGGTTCTGGGGGGAAAATTTCTAGCAAGCAAGAAGGAACTTGTGGCTTGCCTGGAGCATTGCATTTTCTTTTGTAACTCTCTTAAGTTGTTCTCTGCGTACATTTTAATATTTAAAGTTAAAAGGGGCATTTGTATTTTACTTTTGTTAGGTAAAGTTAAAAATCTGCCTCGCAAGAAAGGATTGAATCTTCTAGTCACACACCTACAAGCTACATTTCTCTTTCTCTTTTTAGTTTTAGTTTTTACTTTTTTAATCACCCCAAAATGCAGCATGGAGTATGAAAGCACTATCATTTTCACATACAAGGATTAGGGGAAAATGACACGTGAGAAGCCCTCTAAAACAGGGGTCCCCAACCCTTGGTCTGTGACTCGATACTGGGCCGTTATCTGTTTGGAACTGGGCTGCAGCAGTGGTGACTGAGTGTGCAGATGTGCAAAACTGCATTTGTGAAAGTGGCATGCATGCATGTAAAACCATCCTCTGTCCATCCCACCACTGTTGCCGCTGCAACCTCTGCCAGTCCGCTGACCCAGAAAGGTTGGGGACCACTGATCTAAAAGACAGACAGTGGCAGCTGAACTGCCAAGTCACTATCCAAATTTGGAGGTGGGCCAGAATGTGGAGACCCAGGAGGCTTCTGGTAGAGGATTGGGATCTCCAACCTATGGGCTACTCATTTTGCTAGAGCAGGCCTGTCAAACTGGTGGCCCATGGGCTGGATTACATCACCTACAGGCCACGCCCAACCCGGCTCTGCAAAGGCAAAAAACATCATGATACATTATGTGATGCAACGAGTTTGACCCCTATGTGCTAGAGATTCCTTTCAAATCTATGATTCCTATGAATCTATGATAAGCTGACTTTGTATAAATATACAAAAGTATGAAGGCTATTGCTTAACCCATTGTAGGCCACCCTGAGTCTCCGGAGAAGGGCGGCATATAAATC